GTCCAGCTGTTGCCTTCTTGGGGGCAGTTCGCAAAATGGCGAGCTCAAGCACCGCCTCCAGACCTACGAGCTGCGTTCGGCCTCGTGGGCAGGTGGATCTGAGGTTGGAGTCGTCGTGGGCAGGGCCAAGGGTTTCCTTGGCAGCTTCTCCGAGCACATCGCGAACAGAGGCTGCAGGTTCGATTCGGACGCCATGGCGGCAGCGTGGTACATCGCCAAGGTGGAGCGCCATTGAGATCAGATCAATGGCAGGCCATGTGGAAGGGAGTCGTTTGGGCGAAGCAGGTCGCAGGGCGCGAGGATGCGCTGAATGCAGCGATAGAGATCAACCAAGCGAAGAACTCACTGAGCAGGAGGTCAGGCTTCTCACCGGCTCAGTGGGTACTCGGACGTGATGCCCGTTTACCAGCAGATCTCATGGACGACGGCGACGTCCAAAGGATAGGCGCAGCAGCAGCAGCATCAGCGACACCTACACCGATATTTGCGAGGAAAGCCGCACTACGAGAAGCAGCGCGAGAGGCACGCGCGAAGGTGGCGTACGACGACGCCATCAAGAGAGCAGAACTGCGACCCGTACGACCAGAACGGGGGCCCTTCAACGTCGGTGACTGGGCGTTCTGATAGGACCATCGCGGGCTAGGGAAGAGATCCGAGAGCGTCATCAATTGGAGTGGAGTGGCGCGAGTCATCGGACACGGGGGCAAGCGCGCTGTCTGGATCGTACACCGTGGCATCACCATCGCTTGCGCACCGGAACATCTCGCCCAGGCTTCGGATGGGGAATGGGGAAGCGAGGACTTGGCCAGCGACGGGGCAGGAGGCGGATCTGATCCACGCGAGGGGGGGTGCAGGAGGCAGCGGGTTCAGACTTTCGAGAAGATGGAGTTCGACTTCAGCCAGAGCCAGCTGCGGCGCAGCCACCGCCGGAGGCGCCGCCATCAGAGGCGCCGAAGACCAGCGAGAAGGAGGAAGTTCCAGCAGCGCAATCAGAAGATCAACCAGCTACACTGCGACAGGACGGACCACCTGCACGTGAAACAAAAAAAAGCAGCACGAGCCCCAGCACCACCGGGCGAGCAGGAGGGAGCGATGAAGGGTTTCGTTCAGAAGACTCTTCAACCAGCGGAAGTTCCAATGTGTGCAGAATGGGATCCAGATTTGCATGGTTACCACTCGGCCCCGGGACCCGGTGAACCACTCCATGGCCCTGCCGAGGAGGATAGGGGAAGGCCTGCAGATAAGCAGAGGAGCGAGAAGCCAAGCGTCAGCGACTGCTGGATGACGTACCTCATTCCATTCGTGAGAACAAGAAGGGCCAGGAGGAGTCTTTCCACGTCTACGACGACAGCGACAGCTTGACGGAGGCAGCCTGCGTGACGCACGGGAGCAATCGGACTTTCTACGAGGAGCGCGCCATCAGCAAGGAGGCGGTAGCCTTCGCAGTGGAGAGGAACGAGTTCGAGCATACATGCCAAGCGGGGCAGACTACCGCAAAGAAGGGCAGACAAGGAATTGAGGTTGAAGGAGCTGAGCGTGCGCTCTAGGTCATTCCGAGTTTCAACGAGGTCATGAGTTGCGGCGACGTCAAGAATATTTGTCTGGACGAGGTATTGGGCGAGAAGTCTACATGCGCCAACCTCGAGGAGGACTGTCGGGATTGCACCAGAGACAGCCTTTGGAAGCGAAGGGGGCCATGTACTGAGTTGCGGAGGCGGCGCGTTTATTTTGGTTAGCTTTCTGCGAGGCTATGGAGAAGGATGGTGGTCTCAATCAGTTCTGGTGCCAGCATTGTTTTACCCTAGAGACGCGAGTGGAGAGCTCGCGGGTGTTCTATGCACGCGCGCAGACAATTTGCTTGCCGGGGTCGCCGCAGAGTTTGAGACGATAGCCTCGAAGTGCACGCGGGGGACGCTGAATTTCTCGAAGTGACAGAAGGAGGACTTTGGCTCTCGAGGGCGAGAAACCATGCGGATGTCGAATGGCGATGTTGGCGTTATGATGAAGGTTTACAGTCTCTACGTGAAGTTTGCTGCGATTCCGAGGGACAGAAGGAAGGAGTTGGCCTGCCCGCTCGACGAGACGGAGGCGCAGCTCTGCGAGGGGCGACTGGCGAGATCTCCTGGCTAGCGCGACAGCTGCGAGCAGATCTAGCGTTTCAAGCAGGGCAGGCCCAACGCGCGATGGTGGCACCATGCGTGGCGGATTTGGCGAAGGCCAACAAGGCGACCAACGAGGGGAAGCGAAGAGCTGACTATGTGCAGAAGTTTCCGTTTGGGATCGGCTTGAGACAGTCCGCGGCGGTCATCGCGTGCGATTCAGGGCATGCGAACGGCAATCCAGAGAGCGACGAGATCAGCAGGTACAAGAGCATTGGAGGCCACCTGCTGTTTACTGCCGAGAAAGATGTTCTCAGTGGAAAACTGGTCAAGGCGGCGATGCCGGATTACAGTTCGAAGTCGACGCAACGAGTATGCAGGAGTGCTTTGGCGGGAAAAAACGTCGCATCTGGCAGATTCTCTGGAGGCCGGTGAGTGGTTATGTGTTTTGTTGGAACTGGAAGATTTTTTTCCCACAAGTTGGATCTGAAGAATTGGCAGGATGTTGTTGTGGGGGCGCACACGTTTCTTGAGATATGCCCGATCATGTCACGATGACATTACGAAAGAGGGTTCGGGTTTGAGTCGTGTCAAGCGGATGGCGATAGAAGGTGCGTTATTGAAGGAGGCCTTGAGACAGCCGAGTACGGAATTGCGATGGGTTGGCGGTGTGCAGGAACTTTCTGATATTCTCACCAAGGATGGTGTGGACTTGGAGTAGGTTAGCACTTCTGGAGGACGAACCATTTTGACGATGCAGCAGGATGTGGCTGCGGCGAAAATCAAGGAAAAAGAAGAGATCACAGCGAGTTGCGAGTACGAGAAGCACGACCGGAGCGAGGAGCATAGAGCACGACGTGAACGCGTTGCTGCAGGCGTTCGGTTTGCCGAGCGAGATGAGCTCGAGACGTTCGAGGCTACAAAGTAAAAGTAATGAGTCGGATAATCCCCTGGGGAAAGATGCGTGAGGCCCTCAGGGGCCCAGTGAGTGAGACCCAGCAGCCTTAGGAGCCCCTTCGGAGGCCCGGCATAGCCTCTCTCTCTTTGCCCTTTTCCTTGCCCGTCTCCGTGCCCCGTGCCCTGTGCCCGTCGCCGCGTTTGGCTCTCAGGCCGGCCTTTTTTTGCTTTAGCTATCGTCCTCGGCTCCAGCGGAGCCGCCGCGCACAGCAGAGCCGATAACGGCCCGCGAGCCACGCGGGGAGAGAAACACCTATCATATTTGCAATCAGAATGGTTGGTGATGATGATGTTGATGTTGATGGCAGTGGTGATTATGATTGTGATGGTTCTTATACTGATGATGACGATGCTGACAACAATAATGGTGCTAATGATGGTGATGCTGATGACGCCGATGCTGCTGACAATGACGGTGGTGATGCTGATGCTGTCCCTGTTGGTAGTGACGATGACGATGCTGATTCTAATGTAGATGTTGATTATGATGGGAATGTTGATAACAATGGCGATTGTTATGCTGATGCTGATGTATATGCTGATTATTTTAATGATGATGCTGATTATGATGATGAGGAGGAGGAGGAGGCTGAGAATGAGGATGATGATGCGGATGAAGAAAGGATGAGGATGATGATGATGATGAAAACGATGCTGCTGATCATGATGATGCTGATGCTGATGATGCTGATTATGATGAAGATGACGCTGCAACTCGTTTGGGCTGTCTTGGGGCTGTCTGGGCCTCGTGTGAGGCAGTCTGGGGGGTCCCTTGGGAGCGTGTTTGGGCCCTCCTACGTCGGCTTGGGGTTCTCTTGGGCCGTCATGGGTTCTGTTGGCCTTATCCTGGGTAGTAGGGCCGTCGTGGGGCCGTCTTGGCGCCGTCGAAGGGTCTTGTAAAGCCGCTTTGGGTCCCACTGGAGGCCGTCTTGGTGCCGCCTTGGATGCCTCTTGGGCCACCGTCGAATCATTTTGAGTCGTCTTAAGTTGATGGCAGCCCGAAAAGGCGAGACTGCGAAACTAATTCAAAAGCCACGTGGACATCGGCTTCCTCGGACCTTTTTGGATGTCCTTGTGGCCCTTTTGGGTCTTCGAGGAGGCACCTTGTGCCGTCTTGAAGCAATATTCGGCCGCCTTGGGACCATCTTGGGCCGTCTTCGAGGCATCTTGGGCCGTCTTGGTGTCCTTGATTGCCTGCGCCGGCCGTGTTGGAAGCTCGGGACGCACATCCATCGTTTTTTTTGTTAAGGGGCCGCTGCTTGGAAGAATCTGGAGCACTGGGGATCGGCGCCTGGGAATGCTGGAAGTGCACGATTCTCGAGCAGGTGCGCGTGGGATAAGGATCTAGGAGGCAGCAGCCATGCGGGAAGTGCACGATCCTCGAGCAGATGCGCGTGGGAGAAGGGTCTAGGAGGTAGCAGCCATATGTCAAGCACCGGCGAAGCGTCCTGGTTCGCCTATAGGCCTACCAAATAATGTTCTGAGAACTGTTTATGGTTTGCGCGCAACGTTCTTAGAACGTTTCTGGCAATCACATCGGGTTTATGTTCTAAGAACACTGTTTTTGTTATTAGAACCCTTCTGGGTTCTAAGAACATTTCGTGGTAGGCCTACAGGAATGCCGGGACGGACGGTCCCTGCTCAAATATGGGAAGTGCGCAATCTTCGAGCGGGCGCGCATGGAATGAGGATTCAGGCATTGGCTAACGTGCGGGACGTGTACCTCGAGTGGGCACTCGTGGAAGGGGTTCAGGCGTTAGCTGCCATGCTGGGGGTGCACCATGCTCGAGCGGGCACGCGAAGCGTTGCTTCGGTGAGTAGGGGGGATGCTTGCAGCAGTCTGAGAAAGAGCAGGGGGCAGCCCCCTATCAGATTTACAAATGCCCTACCAGACAGCTCTGGGCATTCTTCCACGCCTCAACGTGCCAGGGGGCATGGTGGCAGATTCTGGAGTTGCCTTCGTCCACCCCAACCCCCACGGACGTCCTCGCTTCTGTTGCAAAGCAATCGTTTGCACATGGCCTTGTGTACTTCGTTGTTACTGGTTGCGCTATCTTTTTTACGAATTGACGATCGTCTTCGCAGCACCGATTGTCCAAGGTGGATCGGAGGCAAATGTGGCCTTGGGGGTTGCTTTGCTTCGCTAGTGCGCCAAGTGTCCTTTGAGATCCAGGGCGCGTGCGGCTCTGACAAGTAGCTTTGGTCATCGTCGCAGCTAGAAAATGCATCGTTGCAACACTAAGCTGCCCGCGTTCCCGCACGTGCTGAGGGCGAAACGCAGGGTGCTGCCTAAACGTTGTTCTGCTATAATTTCTATGTGTTTGGTGAGTTCGCTGGTGTTCGTTCTAAATGCGTTTTTCTGTTCTAAACTACTTTAGCAAAATATTATGGCCGCAGTTATGGGCGACACGTTCTGTTGAATGATGTGGTCGATTGCGTGCGACGTGCCCTGCTTTGTTGTTTGTGTTGTTTGAGCATGTCGCTCCGATGTGTGTTGTGTCTTGGTTTCGTTTCACTACCGCGCCATTCTATCCGCGCATGGGTGTTGTCAATGCGTCGCCGTTGTTGCTTCGGCGCCCTCTTTGGTGTTTTGGCGCCCCGTCGGGTTTGTCGGCGCTTCCAACGTTTTTCTCCGCCTCCTTAGGTTTGTTGTTTTGTTGGCCCCTTTAGTTTTTTCGGGGCCTGAGGTTATAACTTTCGACGAGCCCTTAGGTGTTCGGCTTTTCTTGGGTTTTTCTGCTCTTCTGGGGGGGGGTCGACCTTTCGTTTTGGGCCGAGGTTTTTTTTCGGCGCCCGCGGCTTTTTTCGACGCCCTTATTGTTGTTCTGTGCCTTAGGGTTTATCGGCGCCCTTGTTTTTATTCGGCACCCTTGGGTGCCCTTGGGTTTTTTCAGCGCCCCTGTTTTTTGTTGTTTGTTCTGCGCCTTTGGTTTTCGTTCGGCGCCCTGTGCTTTTTGTTCGGTGCCCTTCAGTTTTAGTCGACGCCCTTGGATTTGTTCTGTGATGTTCCTGCGCCCTTGGGTTTTTTTTCGGTGCCCTTGTTTTTTTTGTTCGGCGCCTTAGATGTTTTCTGGCGCTCTTGGATTTTGATTGCGCGCGTGGGTTTTCTCAGCGGCTTTTTTTTTGTCGGTGCCCTTTGGTTTTTTTTCAGCGCCTTTGGGCGCCCTTCGGTTTCTGCGGCGCTCTAGGGGTTTTCTCGGCGTCCTTGATTTTTTCGGCGCTCTTTTTTTCCGGCGCTTGGTTGTCGTTCTGCCTTTGTTTTTTTGTTGTTGTTGCGCTTTTGGTGTTTTCCGACGCTGTTGTTGTTTTTTGTCCAGCGCCCTTTGCCGCCCTTGTTTTTGTTCGGCGCCCTCGGTTGTTTAGCGTCCTTGGATTTGTTCGGCGGATTTTGTTGCGCCGTTAATTTGTTTGGCGCCCTTGTGGGTGTTCTCGGCGCTATTGCGTTTGTTTTCGTTGTGCGCCCTTGTATTGCTCTGCGCCGTTTGTTTTTTTGTGGGTTGCCCATTTTTTTGTCCGGCGCCTTTTGTTTCTTGTTTCCCCCTAGCGGTCTTGGGCGCCCTTGGGTTCTTTCGACGCCCTTGGGTTTGTCGGCGCCATTGTGCTTGTTTCTCGGCGCCAGTGTTTGGGTTCGGCGCCCTTTGTTTCTTTCGACGCCCTTGGGTTTTCTCGGCGGCCTTGGCTTTTCTCGGCGCCCTTGGTTTTCCAACCCCCCGCGACGTTCGACGCGGCGCCCCCGTGGGTTCACGTCAGGAATCCTGGGGCGTTGGCCATGGGGGCCCGGAGAATTTTGACAAGGCGCCCCCGTGTGCTCTGGGTCCCTGGGCTCGAGGGGCTGCCACGTCAGAAATCCTGGGGTTTTGGCTTTGGGCCCCTTGGGATTCTTGACGCGGCGTTTCCGTGAGCTCGGGGGACCGTCACGTCAAAAGTCTTGGTTTTCTGGCCTTCGGAATTGAATGTCGCCGACCAGGTTGGCCAGCGCCCCCGCCACGCTGGCGTAGATGCGCAAGTCGGGCTTGGCACGCGGGGCACTATCGACCTCGAGGGCAAAACGGACCCAGTTCAACTTCTCGGAGCTGGCCGGGCCTGCAAAAGGCTGGCCCGGGCAGGCCCTCGAGATCAGGCGCAATCCCTGCGTCGGCGAATGACACCTGAGCCACGGTGCCGTGGACAGCGAAGCGGGGGACTGTAGACCGGCGAACCAGGCGAGCGCAAGCAAAGGATTCAAGCCGTCGAGGCTACGGACAGAGTACAACTTCCCGAGCAACCCAAGCAAAACGTAGAACGAGAGAGGGCAGAAGCAGCAAACGCGCGCGACGAGGTGAAAGCGAACGCACGTCTGTACGAATGGCGCGCAGCAGCATCAACGGTGCCCCGCGGCGCGAGTGGCGCCCGACAACACCCAGCGCGCGAATGGTGCTGCATGGCACGAGGACGCAATGGGCGGTGCAAGTGGCGCCCGCGGCGCTAGAACGCACCCAGCGGTGCGAATGGCGCCCGGCAGCACCAGAACGGCACTCGGCGGTGCAACTGGCGCTGCGCGGCGCCAGGATGGTACGCTCAGCTTCAGAAAGAGGCACTCAGCGACGCAGAACAGGCATTCCGCAGTGCCAATGGCGCCAGCAGCGCCAGAATAGCATGGCGGCAAGCGCCACCCAGCGGATGCAAGGATTACGGATGCTTGAGCCGCCCAGCGAATGCAAGGGCGCACCAGGGGAACCTAGCGAATGCAAGGGCTGTGGGATACTGGAGCCTCCCAGCGAGATCAATGGCGTAGCAGGTGGGCCCAGCGAAGACAAGGTTTTGGACATTGGCCGCCCAGCAAACGCAATGGCGCACCAGGGGAACCCAGCGAATGCAAGGGCTTTGGGATACTGGAACCGCCCAGCGAATGCAAGGGCTCTGGACATTGGAGCCGCCCGACACTGCAAGGGCGCGCCAGTGGAACCCAGCGAATGCAAGGGTTCAGGGTCCTGGAATTGCCCAGCGAAAGCAAGGGTGCCCCGTGGGAACCCAGCGAACGCAAGGGATTTGGGACATTGGAGCCGCTCAGAAAACGCACGGGCGCACCAGGGGACCCAGCGAAAGCAAGGGCATGGATCCCTGCAGCAGCCCGGCCATGTCAACGCAAAACAGCCGCGCCTCTTCGGCGCGCACCAGCAGGGCGCGCATTGGGCGGCCCCGTGCGACCGCCACCCGCCCAAGGGCGCGGCCAATCGATCAACCAGCGCAACCAGCCAGGACGAGTGAGAGAGGCCCGCGGCGCTGCATCCCCACGCCGGCTTCCGCCGGCCGCCGCACGGCCCAAGGCGCGGAACACAGCAGGCCAACCCGCCGCCGGAAAGGGGTTCGGGGAGGCGCCAGGGAGGCCCAGCACAGAAGTGGACAGGAGCCCCCACAGCGATCCGCAGCCCTCCAATGGGGGCGCCCACGGGCGTGGCCACACGAGCAAGAAGGGCAGTAAGCAATGAGGCCAGATGTTGTATACGTGCCTTACCCCCCTGCTCCTCAAATTGTCCACGCTCCCCACATCACAATGCAGTTTGGGGTTTCCAAAAATTGGTTGCGCGCGTTTCATGTGGGCAGCTCTGGCACGCCTACGCCATCTAGAGCAGACGTGTCGAAGTGTCTGTGACAATCCACATTTCATTAGCAGTGCGTTTCCTTTGCCATTACCAACACATATAGCAATGCATTTGGGGAGCGAGGGTCTGCATCCCCTTCCTGAGGACAGTGCCCAGATACTCTTGGAGTCCGCTTCTCTCCACAGACATCGTGACGTCGGCTGGCACCACATGCGTTAGTACCAGAAGCTGGTCGGACAGGGTGGGCCTTCGCCAGACCCCTGGACGATCAAAACAGGATGAAACTCCAGCCTTGGATACACGGTCAGGACTTCCCAGGACCGCTTTGCGAACAAATCAACACAGCAGACATTTGTAAGCATCGCTGGCCCATTGGCAGACACACTTAGCTTTGGACAACGTTCGTTGTTTGGCATCGTCACCATGTTCCCGCTCCCCCAGTTCGGGTGCGCCTTGTGAGTAATTGCGACTGACCCTGAATTAGCGAAGTTTGCCCTTCACATGTAAGCAACCGCGTCTTGAAGGTTAATTGATTCATTATTGACCTTTCGCGTTTCCCCACCAGCCCACCCAGAAACGATGTCCAAGCGAATTGCCTTGACCAGGGATGCGGGGGAGTATGCAGTGGATCAAGTGCGGGTACAGCCGTCATACTGGAGTCTTGGATGAGCCTGCGGAAACCCAGGAGCGAAACGTATGCGCTTTCGTGGATTGCCGAATGAGGAAAGTCGGGGAATAAGGACGAGGTGGGGGAGGGAGAAGAGGAGGAGCAGGAGGAGGAGGAGGAGGAGCTCCTGGGGTGCCTCTTGGAGGCCTCTTGGGCGCCTCTTGGGTCCTCCGTGGCGCGTCGTTCGGCCCTTTCGCGGCGCTCTTGGAAGGTTTGGGGGCGCTCTTGGAGCTATCTTGGAGGACATCGGTTAAAGAAGGGAGGAGCTGAAATTGGCCTTGCCCTTCTAGAGTGCATATAATGGTCTCTTGGACCTCTCTTGGAGCGCTCCTGACGTGCTCTAAGGCGCTCTTGGGACAGTCTTGGGGCTTTCTTGGACTCTCTTGGGGCCCTCGGGGGCCCTATTGGAACTGTCTTGAGGCCTCGGAAGGCCATCAGAAGCGAAACGGCGAAAAGGCAGACATCTTTGCTTGTCTCTGGGTGTTTGAAGGATTTGGGCCTCTTGGCGGCCTCCTGGGGGGTCTCTGGCCACTCGGCGCCGTCTTGGAACGGTCTTGGGGGCCTCTTGGAGCATCTTGGGAGCCATATTGATCCATCTTGGGCTATCTTGAGCCATCTTGGAGGTCATCTTGGGCTTTCTGAGGCCCATCTTGGGCCATCTTGGACGCTCCAACGCCTTCCCCCTCCAGGTCCAGGGGAGGGGGGAGGGGGAGGGGTCAAGACACCCCCTAGATAGCACGTCGTCTAGCTCACTCCCACCCGCCCTCCCAACACATAAGTAACACCCGAGTCTCAGCATGTCCAGCGGTCGTCTTTGGAGTGGCAGCTACTGGGAACCAAAGCCGACCCCATGTGCGCGACGCTGGGGCGAGGTGCGCCATGCGTTCCAGGCGCGCCACGCGCGCCAGGCACCCCTGGGGCCCGAGCGTGCCGGGCACTCCTGGTGCGCCAGATGCGCCACGTGCTCCGCGCCAGGTGTGCCGCATACTCCAGCCGCGCCATGTGCGCCACGTTCGGGGCACGTGCAGAGTGTGTCAGGTCCGCTTGCGCACGTGACAGTACACATCAGGAAACATGTCGGCCCCCACCCTTGTCGAAAACCAATGTCCATCATTGTGTGTCTGGTGGGCCTGCGCACCGTACGCCACCACCCCCGAAGTCCGTGTCAAAAACCGCTTGACAGTGATCGCAGGGTGGCCGCGCATTATTCAGATTTAGCCGCGAGGTGCATTTTGTATTGTTTTTTTTGTCAGGGATGGTAGCCCTGCGCGCAGCAGGCAATATGCTGACACCCCCGTCGCCCCTGTCAGAAACAATACAAAGGGCTCGTGGGCTTCACGAACATGACTCAATAGTTTGCCCCAAAGTGTACTTTGTGTTGTTTTTGTTGACAGGGATGGCATCGGATTGGTCGCGCATGCTCCACATGTGGAGGCAGAGTGCGTTGTGCATTGTTTTTTGAAAGGGATGGTGGTGGGGGGCTGCTTGTTTCCTGGTTGGCCGCCGGTCGCCTGGGGGAGGGGGTGTATAAGAATAGTGAACAGTGATAAAGCCCTCCCCGAAGGTGAAGGGGGCGGGGTTGGACGAGAAACCGCCCTAGACCACCTACGCCCAGAGGGCTGGTGAGATTCATGCCATCTATTGTGAAGGCCTTACGCTCGGTGCCGCCGACCCGGAAGGCGGGACCTTCCCCAAGGACCCCCGCCGGCGGCGCCCGCCCCGGGACTTTCTGTTTCTCATTTTTCATCAGGATACTCCAGCCCCCATACCAGCTTGTCCCAGACCCCCCTCGGACAGCACAAAGAAATCTGGCCGGGGTGCGTACGGGTCCCACGGTGTTTTTTTCCGATGTTCCGACATGCCCCTCCGCTGGAACTCGGCAGGCCCAGCGGTGGCTTCGGGTCGGCTCGGGGGCGGCTTGGTGTGTGGCCAGCTTGACTGCGGCTGCCGAAGCTGACCTCCCCGGAGAGCGCCGCCCGCCTCCCAGGCAACAAAAACCAGGCCGGCGGCCCCCCCGCGCTGCGCTCGCGCAGGGCGACGGCTGGCTGTACATGAAGCCCAGGTTCTTGCCGATGAGGCTGCAGGTGGCGGCCCCAGCCGCGGGCGCTTCCCTCCACTTTGGAGATCGCCTTCTTATTCTCGAGGCCTCTGGGGTCGGAGGACCGCGCCGCATCGCCGATGCATCGCCGATGCGGCTCAATGTGGAGCCCAATTTGTTTCACGTTGACGTCGCCGATGCATCTCCAGTGCATCGACGCCGCATCGCCGATGCATCGTCGATGTAACGGCGATGCGGCGCTACTCTCCGACCCAATCTACTCGGACCCCGTGCAGGATGCTTTTACACTTGTAGAAAGGGAACCGCGTAAAGTACGCTTATCGGGGCTCTGCGCGGATCTCCTGGATTGGCGCTGGACCCCCTTGGTGGCGCCTCCGGCGCCGCCCCTGGCGCGCTTGGCGGCCCAGGAAGGGGGGTGCTTATGCAGTTTCTGTCCCTCTTTAATCGGTGAACCCGTAGCGTGCTTCACGGGGGGTCGCCCTCCCCCCTCTCCCCTCCCCCGTGGCGGTACCGAACGTGCGCGGGGCCAGGGGGGGCGGGGGGAGGCGTTCCCCCACAGGCATGGGCGCGGTGCCAGCAGGCAGGTGGCGGCCCCAGCCGCGGGTTCCTCCCTCTTGGAGCTGGCTGGGGGTCTGAGGTGGCCCACCACTGGTCCAGGCCAGCCAAGAGGGGGGGGGAAGGTTGGAGGTTCTGAGTTCAAGAAGGCTTTTTGCTTTTTCTGCCTCCTGGGGTCGCTTTCGGGCCCCAGGAAAGTCAAAAGCTGACCTGGAGGGGGTGGAACCTGCACCAGACGGACCCCAGGAGGGGTCTGGGGACCGATTTTGAGCGGATGCGACCCCCCTCCACTCCTAGGGGAACTAACAATGACATAAACATACAAATTCGGAGGTCTGCGCGGATTTCTCGGATCGGCGCTGGAGCATCTTGGCGGCGCCTCCGGCGCCGCCCCTGGCGCGCTCCGCGCGCCATGGAGGGGGTCCAACGCCGATCTGAGAAATCCGCGCGGACCTCCGAGTTTTCATGTTTATGTCATTGCTTGTTTCACTAACTCTGGAGGGTCGAAATGGGCACGGAAAGAAAGTTGACGAAGACCGAGGGCAAGTCATGTCCGCGGTTAACAGGACCCGCTCTCGGAGTCGCCGCGAACGGTGCCCACTCGAGACAAGCACTTGCTTGCCCAACAGCGGCCGCCGTCGGATTCGGGCAAGTTTGCTGTTGGGCGTTGTGTCAACGTTTTTCGTTTCCTTTTAGGAGTGCCAGTCCCCAGACGTCGCGTCGTGAAAGCATCACGACGCAAGTCTTCCTGGAAGGTTTCGCCTCTGGGGGGCCCTTGCCAATCACCAGAACCGTCACAACAGCATTCGGGATGAAAATGCGGAGCCCGGGCAGTGGTCCAGATTTCGGGAGCCCACGTGAACAGAAAACACGATATCGGAGGTTTGGGTCCTACCTCCCCTCATTCCTCATTCCTCCTCTCCTCCGCCATCTTGTCCCAGGGGTCTATGACCCGTTCCACACTAACCATTATTCCTCTGCATGGCAGATGCAATATTCTAAGCGTTTCGCGTAGCCGCATCAGCCCATCCAGACACGATACTTGGGCGAGTTGCCTTGTTCAGGGATATGGAGGAGCATTCAGTGGAATAACAGGCTGGGGAAGCCGTCATACCCCAAGAGGGGAGAATGGAGGAGGAATCGTATGAGGAGGAGGAAGATGAGGAGGAGGAGGAGGAGGAGGAGGGGGAGGAGGAGGAGGGGGAGGAGGAGGGGGACGGGGACAAGTGAGGATGGAGGAGGAGCAGAAGGAGGAGGAGGAGGAGGACGAGGGTGAGCAGACTGGCCAGAGGTCTCTTAGATGCCGCTCGGGCCCTCTTCGGATGTCCCTTGAAAGCTTCTTAGGGGCCTCTTGGGGCGCCTTCAGGGCACATTGGCGCAAACCTAGGTAAAGCCATTGATTTATGCTTCCTCGCCGAGACCTTCTTGGACGCTCCAGTCGGTCGTGGGACTTCCCTTCCAGGTCCAGGGGAAGGGGTTGGTGGAAGAGTCAAGACACTCATCCCGCCAGCAAGCTCTCTTGCTCACTCCCAACCGCCCTTCCCACACATAGGTAGCACCCGAACCTGAGCATGTTCAGCGGTCGTCTATGGATGGACTGTTACTGGAAACCAAAACATACCCCACTTGCGCGACGCTGGGGCGAGGTGCGCCACGCGTGCCACACGCGGCAGCTGCGCCAGGCACCCCTGGGGCCCATGCGTGCCAGGCACGCCTGGCACGCCAGTTGCGCCACGTGCTCAACGTGCGCCGCGTATGCCGCATGGTCCAGCCGTGCCAGGTGCGCCATTCTCGGGACATAAGAAGAGCGTGCCAGGTGCGCCCGCGTTCGTGACAGCATACATCGGGAAACATGTGGGCCCCCACCATCTTTCTGCCGAAAACCAATGCAGAGTCGCGGCGGGGAGCCCAGCACGGTGTCTGGTGTGCCTGCACACAGCAGGCAATGTTCTAGCATCTTTGCCGTCCTTGTCAAGTATTTACTTCTCAGGACAGTGATCGCGGAGTGGCCGCGCATTAGCCAGATTTAGACGCGAAGTGTGTTTTGTACAGCAGTTGGTGCTAAGTCTAGGCGCTGGCGCCACTGTAAAACAATGGGTTATCATGAGGTGTAGAACTGTCGCCACAGAAATTTCAAGATGTTGGTCTCGCCTCAGCAACGTTTTTTTTGTTTGGGAGCCGTGCTTTCGTTTCAGCTCTGGTCGCGTTCGTCAGTGAGCACGGTGCTCCAGCCTCAGCGTTGGCCCCGTCCTTGGTTGAGAATGTGCTGTCGTCCCCGCGCGTCTCTAGCAGGGATGGTGCTGCCGCTTCGGAGCCTCAGGTGTCGTGAGCAAGCGAGCGAGTGAGCGAGTGAATGGGAGTGCGTGGAGGAGCAGTTAGAGGAAGAGGAGGAAGAGGAAGAGGAGCATGTAGGAGCATGTGCAAACGACAACGGTAGTCGTCCCCGAACGGTGCACCAAGACGAAAAGGTGCGCTGCGATAGGATAACAGCTTGGCGCCGGCCCACTTGCGGCCACCTTCCCCGTGGTGGTGTACCGCCTCCGGTGGTGCTGGTGTGAACGAAACACCCACCTCTGGAGACGATACAGGTTTTGATTATTCGGACCGCGCTGCGCCGACCCTAGTACTGCGGGCCAGCTACACGGACCCAAGAGGACAAACGTGTGCCTCACTTGTGCATGGAACCCATGGTTCAAGGGAATTGAGTCCTCCACCACGGCAAGAAATCGGCCGCTCGTTTGTCCCTCAATGCCCATGCGTCGACTCCAAGTGACAATGTGCCCTTTGCGTTAGGTTGCGCTGGCACCAGGATGCGGTACCATGCCCGTGCGAAGGAGGAAGAGGAGGATGAGGAGGACAAGTGTAAACCCAAGAGTCATCAACGATGTTGGGATTATCCCTCCGAGCTCTCTCTTCCAAGGCCCCTACAACGGAAGACAACCGTTTGAAGATCTTGAAACATGCCAAATCATTTTTCTCTGGATTTCCACGCCACGGATCAACCTGACTGCTGCGTCCTGACGATCTGGAATCGTGCTAGAACGCCAGTTCGGGGATTTCACACCGTGAACCAACATAATTGCTGCACCCGCATAATCCTGAACCCTTCCAAAATACCATTTCAGCTTGCCCGTAGATGGCGACCGCAGCTGCCGTCCCTTCGTGCTGTGCGAGTGCCGAACCTGGCGTCCGGTTTGGACGGAACGCGTCGGGTCTATTGCCAATCGGGGATGCGCAAGGTTAGCCCCCTCAACGTCAGGTTCGGGAATGGGTCGTAGCGACACTGCGGCTACATCCATATGTCAACCGCAGAGTCAATACGACATGTGGGTGCAAGGATCAAGATTAGAACGCGAAGCGCAGCGAGCCTTAACATCTTGTTCAAACAGAGTCACACAATAGCCTGGGTACGATGTTTCGGTTATGTTGTTACTCTTGGTTATCTTATCTCTATAAATGTATATTCTCCCAAACTCCGCCTTTAGGGGGACATTCCCGACCTGAACCTATAGCGGTTCTGGTGAGGAAACCGGCAGGCTGGGCCAGGCCACGTTTGTCTCCGCGGCTGTTGGCCAGGGATCGTCACAGCGGCTCGTTCGAGCCAGCAGTTTGTCACGGTTTCCTACTCGTTCCCAAGACATGTGCCGCGAGCGTTTGCGCAGCTCCTCGCGCTCCGTGAGCTGGCGCGCAGCTTCCAGGCAGCTTCTGGGCAGCGCCAAGGCAATCCCTAGGCAGTGCTGTCAAGCTTCGCGGGCAGCGCTAGGCAGCTCTAAGGCAGTGCTTCCTGGGCCCGTAGCCCACAAGCAAACAACGTGAGGGAGGGAAAGGAAAAGAGACGGGCACAACGATCCTAGATAGCTCTTTGAGGGAGCTGTGAGGATTTCCGAACATAAGCCGGCAGGCTGAACTAGGCCAGTTTCCTCCCCTCCGCCGCAGGTGAAGGAGCGCCGCAGCGATTTGCTTGAACCCGCAGCGTGTCCTTTATGCGCTTAGTATAATTTGCCATTACGTGGGCCGCACGCGTTTGCGAAGCTCCTTCGCAGCGCTTACTGCGCTCGCGTGGAAGTCTTAGACAGCTCCCAGACAGCGGTTCCCAGGCCCGTGGGTCGCAAACAACGTGAGGGATGTAGGGAAAAGAGAGAGTCGGGCACAAAGTTGCCGCATAACCCGAGGAGGGTTATAAGGGCTTCACAGGGAGCCGGCAGGCCGAGTTAGGCCAGCTTGCTCCTCTCAGGCGCCAATCAGGGAGCGCCGCAGTGATCTGCTTGACCTCGCATCGCAGCGTGTCCCGCAAACGCTTTCCTCATGGTTGCCAATACGTGGGCCGCAAGCGTTTGCGACACTTCTTCGCAACGCTTCCTGCACTCGCGCGCAGGTTATAGTAGGCGGTTCCCAGGCCCGTTGGTCGCAAAGAATCAGTGCGAGGGCGGGGGGAGGAAAACAAGGGAAAGAGAGAGAGAGAGAGAGAGTTGGGCAAGAGTTTCTTGGATCGTTCCTGGAGGGAGCTGTGGAGAGATCAGAGAAACAGCCGGCAGGCTCAGCTAGGCCATATTCCTGCCCACAGCCGCCAGTCACGGGGTGCCGCAGCGATCTGCTGGAACTTGCAGCGTGTCCCGAAAGCGTTCGCGATGCTCCTTCGCAGCGCCTCTGGCATTCATGCGCAGGTCCCCGGCAGCTCCTAGCCAGCGATTCCCAAGCCCGTGGGTAGCAAACAAAACATGTGAGGAAGGTAAAGGAAAACAGAGAGGGCCAGGCAGAAGGTTCCCGGATAGCCGAAGGAAAGCTACAATAAAGGTTTCAGAGAAAAGCTTGCAGGGTGGGCTAGGCCAGAATCCCCTTCCACGGCTGCCGGCCAGGCAGGGTCGCAGCGGTTTGTTGGAGCCAACAGTTTGTCCCGCCGTCGCTTTCCCATTCGTTCTCATTGCGTGGGCTGCAGGCGTTTGCGAAGCTTCTGCGCATCGCTTCCTCTCGCGCGCACGTCTAGTCGGCTCCTAGGTAAAGCTCCCCAGGCTCGTGGGCAGCTCCTAGGCATCGCTTCCCAGCATCGTGGGCAGCACCTGGGGAGCTCCTGGGCAGCATGTCCTCGGCTTCTGGGCGGCGCTTACGGGGCTTCAAAGCAGCGATCTCCCGATTTGTGGACAGCGCCAGGGCAGTTCCTTCGCAGCGTTTCCCAGGCTTGTGGGGGTGCGCAGGCAATTTTCATCGCTTTCTGGTTTCGCTGGGAGTTCCCAGGCGTGTGTCCGAGGATCGTCCCCATCTCTAGGGTGTTTTCGCGTGGTTGTTCACGCTGACTGGGTGCTCCGCTATCTGGGTTTTGGTTTGCACACGTTTCGGCCCCTCGAACACGAGTGGGTGGGGGCGGGAGGGGGTCCAGCGAGGAGGAATGGGAGCAGTGGGCGAAGAGGGTCCTGGGCAGCCAGCGACCTCGTGTAACGTTGGCCCTATGATGGGTAGTCCGACCCCGCAGGGGAAGGCGGCGGATATCTGACACAAACATCATGAACAGGATAGGATGTTGCCCAAATTTCAGCCGGGCCAAAACAACAACATGTGCAGAGCGAAAGGGTAATCCGAAGTTCAAACTATTATCAAACATGCAGGTGGGGCGATGGGCGACGAGGAGATAGTGAAAGGAGGGGGAAGGGACGAATAGGAAGAGAGAGGAGGAGAAGGGGAACAGCAGCAGCAAACGACGCGGACGACAAGGAACACGAGAGGAAGAGAAGGCGAGTGGGGAGGGCCAATCCCCCAGCGGCGGCACCGCGCGAGACGCGCACTCTGCGATTCACGCACAGCGGCCAGGAGGGAGGAGAAAGGGGAGAGAAGAGGAGAAGACGCGGCGGACGATGAGGAATCCGACGACGACGCCGACGATGGTGACGATGGTGACGAAGACGACGACGACCACGATGACGACGACGTCGCCGACGACGAGGCAGACCACGAAGACGATGACGTAACGCGAAAACGGTGGGAGGAGCAGGATAAGCGAATGAGGAGGAGGAGGCGGAGGCGGACGAGGAGGAGGAGGAGGAGGAGGAGGAGGAGGAGGAGGAGGAGAGGGTGGAAAAGGATTGGTAGAGGAAAACACTTCACGAGTCGCGCCAGTCCTGGCGAAAACAGTGAAGGCCAGGAAGCGTACTGCAACGCAAAGTCTTCCAGTCGATCCGTGCAAAGGGATTGATAGTCTTCAACAGCTGTTGCCGCCACGATACGTTCTGTAGCAAACTACAGAGTCGCGCCACTCAGGTAGCGGAATGCTACCCGTAGGGGGCGATGAATATCAAAGCCCCTCCAGATGGAGAAAGTAGCGGGGACGGGCACGACGAGTAAGAGGAGGAGGGGAGGATGACGAGGATGAAGACGAGGAGAGGAGGAAGGACGAAAGAAACGAGAGGGGAGTTGGGCAGTTCGTGGAGCGAACCAACTTGTTCAGCGCTGCGCGGATCCGTGGGTGGCAACGGCAAATTGCGGAGCTCAGTAAGGAGACTCGTACGATCGAGTTTGTCAGATGCGTTGGATACGTCTGGGCAGTACACAGCAACGCGGCGACGAAACGCAAAAGCACTCAGCCAGCGAAGCAAGACATCGAGGAGAATCGCGGCGAACGCTTCTCCCTGCCCTGTATTCAAAATGGTTGACGCCGACGGCCCCTATACGTTCCAACGAGGAACACATAAGCCGACGATGGATATATCTATCACCTTGGAAAGTTGAGCGCTGAGCTGAATACTGTTGTGCCTGTCAGTGTCGCTGGTAGCTCCTTTCTACGCTCAAACGTATGACCAGGCGACCCAATGCGCGCCCCGCGCACGAGGCCGTACGGTTGTGGCGACAATGCGCTGGGCCAGCTTGGCCAATGGAATGGCGAGCGACTTTGCGCAAGCCTTAAGATATTGTTCTTGGATGGTTTTGAGGGTGACGTACGGTGCCCCCCCAGATCTCCCCCGTAACGGTACCCCTTGGAACCGGCCACAGGCGTGATTTTTTTGCAGTTTCCATAGGACGTCGTAGGGACCCATGCAATTCCTACGGATCCTAACCGGGGCCACCACAGCCATCCAGTGAAATGCGAGGAGTTGGGAGGAGAAGAAAGACCAGGATCAGCAGGAGGAGGAGCAAGAGGAGAAGTATGATGATGAGGATGAGGATGAGGAGGAGGAGAGGAGGAGGAGGAGAATGAGGAGAAGAGGAGGAGGAGGAGGACGCGAGGCGGAGGAGGGGGAGGAGGACGACGACGACCGACGTGGCCTGGAGGGTTTCGAAAGTGCACAGGCATTTTAGTGCATACATGCATTGGGGTGTTGTGGGGCGAATTGTTGCCGCCGCTGCAGCACAGGGGGTGCACGCAGGCGCGGTGGTGCGCATGCACTCTGGTGGTGTACACAAGCGCTGTGGCGCACGCAGGCGCAGTGGTGCACACAAACGTTGCACTGCACATGGCTGTTGTGGTATGCGCGAGTACGGCGTTGCGTACAGGCGTTGTTGTGCACGTGGTGTTACTTTGCACTGTGCATCGCAGTTGTGTATAGTCTCTGTTGTCCATCACCGTTGTGCACAGGCGCTGTTGTGCTCGCGGGTGTATGCCGTGGACAGGAGTTGTGGTGTGCACGAGCTTTGTGGTGCACGCAGGCCCCGTGGTGTACATTGACGTTGTGGTGCACACGAAGGCCGTGATGTGCGCAGGCCCCGTGTTGTACAACAACGATTGGTGCACGCAGGGCATTGATGTACATTGCGCATACGGCTGCTGGGGCGTGTACATGCATTATAATTATAGTTGTGGTGTGCACAGGCAATGTAGTGCATAGCACAAGGTGAGTCGTATGCCGATGAGAAAAGAATTGCGAACAATTGTGAGACTCACAATTGTCCATGACATCTCAGCATGATGGATTTCCCAGAATTTATCTCCTTCCATGTGCCAGCTCACCGAGTCGCCCGGGGAAAGTTGGGACGACTTAGCCGTCTGGGAGGATTTCTTGTGAGGGGTGCCACAGGGAAGGGGTGGGATGACTTAGCGCCACCGGCTGCATTATTTTTGACATGGATGGAGGCCTTGCGCACAGAAGGCATTATGAGGGCACCCCCGCCGTCCTTGCCAAAAAAAACAATACGAAGTACTCGCGGGTCCCACGAGCATGACCCAAGATGCTGCTCCAAAGTGCATGTTGTGTTTATTTTGACAGGGATTGGTCCTGGGTGTCTGCCGGCCGCCTGGGGGAGGGGGTGTTTATTAATAGAGAAAAATGGAAAACCCCTCCCAGGAGGGGACGAAGGGGGGTTGGAAGAGGAAACGCTCTAAGTCGCATACGCTCTAAAAGGCTGGTGGGCTTCACATCCAGAGCGAATCCTCTTGTCCGCGCGTGCGGAGATTTATGGCACTACGTATAGAAGGGCACGTGACCTCTTCCGTTTCCGCACATTGTTCGTTGTGGTTGGGTTGGTATCTATTGGTTCGGTTGACGGTGTCAGCTTCTGTCAGGCCACCAGTCAGCACCCCCATTACCAAGTAGAGCAGTCGAATCACACCGTCGGCGACCAGCCTGTCCACAAGAAGCAGCATACGTGTATGTTTGCCTCGCAGCTCCAGTGCACGTGCCTGTTTGCCGCAGCCCATCCCACAGGCCATGGCCTCACCCACCTGGCTTGGCTACACGGAAGTGTGGACGCTCGCCAGAGTCATCTTCGTGCGCGGTTTTCGGGGGACGTGTGGGGGGAAGCCGCAGCACGTAGGCCGCTGCTGCCACAGCGCACACAGCGATCGGCAAGCCCTGCACCGTAGGCCGCTCCTGCCTGGGGCCACCCGTGCGTGTAGCCGACGGGCCTCAGCTGAGACCCAACGACAGCCTGCACAGGTGACCGTTCGGTTGCCCGCTCCCCTTGCCTCGGTCACAGTTCTTGTGAGGTTAACGCCGGCATCGGCGCTGTTATATCCGCGATTGACACAAGCCGTGCCCCAACATCCTGGTTCACCCGCTGAATTTGGAATAATCCTGGGCCTGATTTCAGCTTGGTGGTTCCTCACCCGGGTCGGGTGCTGCGTAATGGAGGGCGCGATAAACGGGGGATTGGAGAAAGGTCCACCCTTCGCGCGCCTTCGGGACCCTGAAGGGCCCCCCTGGAGCCCAAAAGGTGCACGAATGTCGCACGCTTATTCGCCCCTCGTTTATCTTTCCCATAGTGCGAAGAAGAACAAACACATAAGCATACAAATTCCGCGCTCCACGCGGATTTATCGGATCTGCGTTGGCACCCCCTGGCGGCGCTTCCAGCCGCCCGGACCGTCGAAAGGTCATGTTTGTGTTGTTTTGTCTTCCTCTCATAAGGCAGCGCCACATCGGGCTTGTCCCCGATCCTCCCCAGGAAGGCCTCCCGGGAACTGCCTCTAGGCCCGCTCGGCCCGCATGCGCCCGAGGGCGTGACCGTCCTGTCGCCGTTCGAGGAGAACGCCCAGTAGCAGGCGCTGCCCTCCCCCCTCGGAGGACGCCAACGACACACACACACACACACACCAGCAGGGCTCATTTCGGCTCCGCCGCCTCGATTCGATCTGATTCGGAGTTCGGTTCCGATTCCAGTTCGATTTGACTTCGGATTCGGGTTTGGATTTCGGTTTCTCAGTGCTAGCCTTACTGGCCTGCCGATTTCGACCTCTCCCGATTTGGTTGCCGATTTCTGCCGACACGATCCATTTCAATCTCCGATCCGACTCATCGATTCGATCCTGGGCTCCCCTGCGCCGATCCACAACAGGCCCATCCTTTTCGTCCAGGTGCCGGCGCATGTGGCACATCTTGGCCAGGCCAGGAGGGAGGGCGCTTGGGCGTCAGGATGGGCCTGGCCAGGAGCGGTGCATGCGTGTCTTGGCATCGTTCGGACGTGTGCATGGTTTCCCTTCGGCTGGGGCCCATCGAGGAGCATCTTCTTGGACATCTTGCGAAAGCAAAACGCAAGAAACTGGAACATGCACAGGCAATGGACGTCCCAGCGATGGCAATCGTTGGCGCCCTCTTAACCCCCCCTACCCTGGTCCGCGCGGGGCGGCGGCGGCGGCCATCTCTGCGCCGGAGAGGCGACCCAAGGCATCGGTCAGGGGCAACGTTGCACGCCCGTCGTTGGAAGTAGGTATTTTTGGATTCTCATCTACTTCAAGCGCCTTCCTACTCCAATAATCGATATGCTTTTGCTGAGTTGTGTTATTCTCTGGGAGGACCTGAATCCAATTCTTGACGCTTCGCGTATCCCCACCACTCCGTAGCCCCCTCGCCGCTATTACTATTACCATCACCTCCTTGGCCGAGTCTCCCCCAACGGGCGTTTTAGCTATGAGCGACGACAGACCAGACACTCCCATGGCCGCTGACACCGACAGGTCCCTGGGCACGATGGACAACGACTCGCGTATGGGCCACCAGGACCCGCCCGACCACAACGGCAACGACGGGAGCACGGAAGAAGAGATCCCTCCTGCAAAGGTGGAGTCTCCCGACTTCGGGGATGACGAACCACCTCGTCCTCTTACTTGCTCAGAGTCGGCCCAGGACGACGACGGTGATCGCTCAGGCGATGAGGCGCCTCAGCAAAGCCCATCGGCGGGCAGCTCCGACGCCAGCCGCGACGAGACTGCGACCTCAGCCGAGGAGGAAGCGCCCCACGCCGACCGCCGTAGCGGTCCAGCCCGTGATCCCACGAGGGACGAGAGAACCCGCGACCGGGATGACTCGCGGTCCGAGCGCTCTCCCGCGCCCACCCCGCAGCTCCCTGGACAGAGGCACTATCACCCTGCCCATACCGGTACATCGGAGCAGGATGCACTCAACCGGTTGACCTGTCCGGAAGGGGGCGGCCCCATGTACAAAGTCCGGCTGGGCACAGTTGACCTCGAGCGTCCCAATGAGACTCCAGCCAAACGCATAACCAGGCTTCAGTCGGAGCTGGGCGCAGTCTTCTGCGCGCTTTGGACAGCAAACACGCAACGAACTTGGATCCCTGGATCCAGGGCGCCCAAATCCGACCCGAAACTACACACGGCCTCGGACATCAGCAACTTTCTCGACGCCTGGAAAGACTGTGGGTATGACGCCTACGAGATGAACACGAGGCTGGGCTATGGCATTGACTGGGACAGACTACGAGCCAGAACAGACGACAGGGGCAAAGGCAGCTACCACCAGACCGACTGGCGGGACCGCGCGTCGAGCTCCTGGAACACCTGGGGCAGCTGGCAGAGCGAGTGGAGTGACGGATGGCGCGAAGATCGCTGGCAGACGGGTGGCAAACGCGGCGGTGACTGCCCCGACGATCGGGGCGATAGAGATGAAAAGAGGCTCCGCTGGAGAGACTGAGCCCACTCTTCGCTCTCTCCCCGCCCCCAGCGCCTAGCGCCACCACCTGCACCTCTCTACACAACGTTTGCGGCCCTCCGCCGCCTTTTCTCTCCAACCGTGGGGCCGCACCACCGCCCCCCTCCCCTGGACGGCGCTCCTCCTACCCTTACTTTGGAGTGCCGCTCAGTAATACCATCTGCACTCTGCGTGACAGCGCGCATCCTGCAGACCCACAGGCCACTGGCTCCGCTGCCTTACTCTACCGGTGGCCCCTTCACTCGCGCCGCAAGGTTTCCTCTTTCCTGGCTGCGTTTCACACCTGACATCCCCCCCGGCACTGCCTTGGCCGCGCCGCGGGCCCTTCAATTGCGGCGCTCTGCCGCCCTCTTCTGGTGTGCGCACCTCCTGCCTTTGGATCCAGGTGCGCGCCTCGGTAATACCGTCCACAGCCTGCCCGCTGTTGGACTGGCGGCCTTCGGGCCCTACTGTAGGTCTTTCACCGCCAGGCTTGCCCTGGCCCGCGTCTGCGGACGCTGGCTTGCCTGTCCACAGGCCCACTCCCTGGATCTCGTAAAAGCTGAACGGCATTCCGCCGTGACCCTGGATCGAAGTGGCTCTGAGGGATGCGTCTTGGGTATATGACGGTCTCGCCCCCCGGGTGCTATCCGACTCGGTTTGGGTAGCGCTGAGACACTTTGGATGTGCACACGTCACGTGGTCAACCGTGTAATTATCGTGCACTACGGCGCCCTCCCACTCGGTGGGTCTGGGCTCACGCATCTCAGTTGTGGAGGGTTCTCCGGCATCATCGGCCCGCACCCTGGATGCGCGTTCTGGCGTCGCGACATGGATTTGCCGTCAGGATTTTCCGCTGGCTTACGTCCCCAGTCGGTCTGTGTTACCCGTCAGACTCCCTGGATCGTTGTCGGTGAACCCTTAAATGCTGAACGGCCTTCCGCCGTGACCCTGGATCGTAGTGACTCTGAGGGCTGCGTCTTGAGTATATGACGGTCTCGTCCCTCGGGTGCTAGCGGACTCGGTTTGCGTAGCGCTGAGTCACTTTGGATGTGCACACGTTACGCGACCGTGTATCGTGCACTACTGCGCCATTCCACTTGATGGATCTGGGCTGTCGCATCTCAGTTGTGGAAGGTTCTCCTGTCATCAGTCTCCACACCCTGGATGCGCGCTCTGGCGTCGCGACTCGGAGTCGCCGTCCGGATTTTTCGCTGGACTTACGTCCCCAGTCAGTTTGTATTACCCGCCTGACTCCCTGGATCGTTGTCCTCGGGAACGTTCCTTTGTTCGCAGTTGGACTTCTGGGAACGCCTCTCGCGCCATTTTGGCTGCGCTTGGTCTCCTCGGTGCCTGGCTCCAGGCTCCCTGGATGCTCTTGCATGCCCATTCTGGGGCTGTCTCAGGCTCCCTGGACTGCACGTCGGCTCTGCCGCCCTGGGCGCTGCCCCCTCCCCGCCGCCTGATCCGCGGCCCCCGCGCGCGCTCGGCAATTTAGTCGCGGCCGTAGCCCGCCCGCGACCTCCCGCCGCTGGCGCTTCCGCCTGCGGCTGTAAAAGTGATAAAAAAAGTATCCCCACCACTTCGCGTATCCCCACCAGTGCTTGCATCCGCACGTTCAACGCGCACGGCGGCCTGATCACTTTGGTTCGGACTGCGGCGCCTAAGTGCGTTTGCCTTGAGAATTTAGTTCATGTTGTTCTGTGCACGTGCAACTGCGAGTCTGTCTGCCGACTCCGGCTGGTGGCAATTGTCTTGCAATTCGCCCCGTACCGTGACCCGGACGCCGCTTCCGCTCCCTGTCCGTTGCCTCGGAGCCGCCGACCAAAAAGTACCTCCACCAGTCGGCGCGCATGGCAGTCGTCGCAGATTCTGGCTCGCCGCCCCCCTGGCTCCATCCTGGTATGCAGCTCGCGCCATTTTGGCCGCGCCCCAACGTCGGTTGGTCAATTTGCACGCTGCCCTGGTCCAGCTCCCTGGCAGCTGCACGCCCCCACCCACCGGCCCTGTCCGCCGTGTTGATGCTTGAGGCCCCGCCGGCTTTAGGTAATTCGTCTTTGCGCGGCCCGCTCTGACTCGACTCGCCCCTTGCGCTTTCGCGTGCGGCTGCTGACTAAAAAGTATCCCATCAGTGTCACGGTGTCGATTACATCCATCGTTGTCTCGGCCACTTCGCTCGTCCTACCGGGACCACCCCGTGGACGGTCGTATGCAGGATCAGGATTCCCTTCAGGAGTCTTGGTGTGCGAATTTGGTGGCGCCACCCTATGCACCAGTTTATGGTCAGTGTGATCCCCTGGCAGTTGACGCAGTGTACTGCTGGTTGCCTTCCTGGCTACATCCTGGTATTACCCCCGCGCCGTTTTGGCTGCGCTCCAACCCTGGTTGGTAAATCATGCATGCGCGCGCTCCTGGACCTGGCCCCTGGCAGGTGCAGCCCGCACCCCCCCTCACGCCGGCCCGCCCGCCGAGGCGCTGCTGACGTCGCCGGCCCGTCGGCGTTAGGGAATTCGCTTGCGCGGCCCGCTCCGACCTCACTCGCCCCTGGCGCCCTCGCGTGCGGTTGCGACTAAAAAGTATCCCCGCCAGTTGAGAGTTTCAGCCTTTTTGTTCAGCCATGTGAGATTCTCTCTGTTGTCATGCAGCACTGGTTCGCTGGACTGTTTGCGCAGCCCCGCTGTTCTTCGCCCGGTGGCACGTGTACCTCTGGCGCCTGGCGCGACAGGGTACAATTCGTTATTCTTCCTGGTGGTCTCGCCTGTGGGACTCCCGCACGCTAGCCGCCTGGATTTCCTGGCAGCTCCTACGGCCTAGCTTCAGCCTCCGGCGACCCTCCAGCCACCGCTCTTGCAACCCTGGCTTCAGCCTCCGGCGCAGCTCAGCGTCCCTCGGCGGTAGTTCAGCTGTTGCTTGTACGCGCGCTAGTCCAATTAGGTTTGCTCGTCGCCCGAGCTGACTTGTGCCGCTGTTGGCGCCTTCGCCTGCGGTTGCGACGGACATATCCCCACCAGTCCATCCAGAAACCACGGGGAGGAAACGGATGGTGGTGCTCTTTGGGAGCTCTGGAGGCCATCTTGGGGCTCTTCTGGGAACCTTGGGAAAGCTGTTTTGAACA